TGACTGAGTGCTGGGGTGCCAGGATGCCCTGGTGATGGGGTGGTGGGGTGATGCAGTGACAGGGTGACAATGGTGTTGGGATGCCAAGGTGCCCTAGTGATGGGGTGACAGGGTGACAATGGTGTTGGGGTGCCAAGGCACCCTAGTGATGGGATTGACAGGGTTCTGGGATGCCAGAGTGCCCTGGTGCTGGGGTGCCATAGTGACATGGTGATGAGGAGATGGGGTGCTGAGGTGCTGGGGTGCCCTAGTGTTAGGGTGCCAGATTTACAGGATGATAGAGTGATGTGATGACAAGGTGCCCTGGTGACAGGGTGACAACGTGGCATAGTGATGGGGTGCCATAGTGGCACGGTAATGGGGTGATGATGGGGTGATGTTGAGGTAATGCTGGGGTGGCCAGGTGCCCGGGGTGATGAGATGTGTGCCCGCAGGCGAGGCGTCAGTGCAGGAGCTGACGGCGCAGGTGCTGAGCCCGTCGGGGCAGCGGCGCGAGGCCGAGGTGGTGCCGGGGGCCGCGGGGGTCTACAGCGTGCGCTTCGTGCCCCAGGAGACGGGCGCCCACACCGTCAGCGTCAAGTTCCGGGGCCAGCACGTGCCCGGGAGCCCCTTCCAGTTCACAGTGGGGCCCCTGGGAGAGGGCGGTGCCCACAAGGTGCGCGCGGGGGGCACCGGCCTTCAGCGCGCCGTGGCTGGCACACCAGGTACGGGGGGTCTGCCAGGAATGGGGGGGCTCTGCCAGGTATGGGAGGGTCTGCCAGGTACGGGGGGGCTCTGCCAGGTATGGGGGGGTCTGCCAGGTATGGGGGGGGGGGTCAGCTAGGTATGGGGAAGGCATGGGGGCATGGGGGGACTGGGGCAACTGGGGAGATATGGGGGGTCTGGGTGTGATGGGGATGGGGGGGCAATGAGGGAGGTGTGGGAGCCAATGGGGAGGTGGGTGCTATTGTGGGGCTGGGGTTGTGGGGACAGTGGGGGGTCTGGGTGCTGTTGGGTGATGGGGGCAATGGGGGGTGTGTACTATGGGTAGAGGGGATGTTGGTGAAATTGGGGGGCTCTGGGTGCTGTGATGGGGGATTTGGGTACAGTTGGGTGTGGGGGCAATGTGGGGGTGCTATGGGGGATCTGGGTGCCATGGGGGGTGGGTGCAGGTCTGTGATGGGTGTCACTGTCCTGGGGTGCCACTGGGGGCCGGGGTGACCTGGTGCCCCCCCCCAGCTGAGTTCAGCATCTGGACACGCGAGGCGGGCGCGGGAGGTCTCTCCATCGCCGTCGAGGGGCCCAGCAAGGCCGAGATCTCCTTCGAGGACCGCAAGGACGGCTCCTGTGGTGTCTCCTACCTGGTGCAGGAGCCAGGTGAGAGGGGGCTGCCCTCCAACACCCCCAACACACCAAGCACCTCCCCCCCCCCAAGGGTGCTCAGCCTGGGGCCAGGACTGTGGGACCCTCGTACAAGGGGGGACCCCCATGCAAAGGTGTCCCCAAGTATGAGGGTGTCCCCAGATAAGGATGTCTCTGTGCACAGGTGTTCCCAAGGAAGGGTGCAGGGGATACAGTCCCTATGTGTGGGGTCCCCTTGTGTGAGGTCGTGGTGTGTGGGGTCCCCACCTGACTGTCCCTGTGTCCCCCAGGTGACTATGAAGTGTCCATCAAGTTCAACGAGGAGCACATCCCCGACAGCCCCTTTGTCGTCCCTGTCGCCTCCCACTCTGATGACGCCCGGCGCCTCACTGTCACCAGCCTGCAGGTACTGGGGACACCCACTGTGTCACCCTGGGCTCCTAGACACTCCCTGGGTCACTCCCCTGTGGCACCCTTGGGACTCCCACTCCTTTGGGTCTCCTGTGGCACCCTTGGGACCCTCTGGAGCCACCTCTCTCTGCCCCACGTCACCCTTGGAACCCTCCCTGCTGTCACCCCTGGCCACCTGGCACCGCTGTGTCACCCCTGGGCCCCACGGTGTCCCCTCTGCCCTGGTGCCCCCCTGTCCTGCCTGTGTCTCTGATGCCGCCGTGGTGTCCCCGCAGGAGACGGTGGCCGTGAACCAGCCGGCGTCGTTCGCGGTGCAGCTGAACGGGGCGCGCGGTGTCATCGACGCCAAAGTGCACACGCCTGCAGGGGTGGTGGAGGAGTGTTATGTGTCCGAGCTGGACAGTGGTGAGGGGACACCGTGGGGACACTGGGCTTGGGGAGGGGGGGGATGGACACAGGACACGGGGACATGGGATGTGGGTACGTGGGGCTTGGGGACATGAGGTATATGGGACAGAGGGACATGGGGACACAGGACACACCAGTCTGTCCCTCCAGACTGGTACATGCTGGATTTCTTGCTGTGTGAGAATGGGGTGGGCACAGGGAGACACAGGGACATGGGGACACGGGGACATAGGACATAGGGATATGGCACATGGGGACGCTGCCATGACACAATGTTCCCCCAGACCAGTACACACTGGGGTTCCTGCTGTGCGAAAATTGGGTGTGGGGACACGGGGTGTGGGGATACAGAACATGGGGACTCGGGGACACGGTGCCATGTCTGTGTCCCCCAGACCGGTACGCGCTGGGGTTCCTGCCACGTGAGAACGGGGTGCACTCCATCGACCTGCGCTTCAACGGGCGCCACGTGCCCGGCAGCCCCTTCAACATCCGCGTGGGCGAGCAGAGCCAGGCCGGGGACCCCGGGCTCGTCACTGCCTTCGGGCCCGGCCTCGAGGGCGGCCGCACAGGTGACACCGCTGTGGGGACAGGGACACTGCCGTGGGAGGGGGTTGGGGATGGGGACATGGCCATGGAGTGGTGATGGGGACGAGCCATGGTCAACACCGTGGCCGTGACGGAGATGTGGCCATGTTGGTGGCAGTGGAAATGTGGCCACAGGAATTGCCGTGATGGGGACGTGGCCAGGGGTGGTGGCCACAATGGGGTCACGGTGTCCCCCCCATGGTGCAATCCTGGTGTCCCCTGTGTCCCAGGGGTGCCCTCGGAGTTCCTGGTGCAGACGGCCAATGCAGGGGCAGGGGCACTGGCCGTCACCATCGACGGCCCCTCCAAGGTGGAGCTGGACTGCACTGAGGTCCCCGAGGGCCACCGCGTCACCTACACCCCGATGGCCCCTGGCAACTACCTCATCTCCATCAAGTACGGGGGCCCCCACCACATTGTGGGCAGCCCCTTCAAGGCCAAGGTCACCGGTATGGCCAGGGGGGACATAGGGATGGGGGGATGGATGAAGGGGATCTGGGGGGGGAATTCGGGGGTCCCCAGTGTGGAGTGACAAGGGTCAATGATGGGCATGATGGGGGTGGCAGGGAGGTGGCAGGAGGACCCCCAGAGTGACATGAACAAGGGTGTTCCCAGGGTGGTGTGACAGGCAGTCCAGCAGGACATGATGGGGGGTCCCCAGGGTGGTGGTGTGGGGGGTCCTTGGGTTGGGCGACATGGTGAAAGAGCCCCAGGGTGACGTGATAGGTTGTCCCTGGAAGGTGTTGCTGTGACCCCCCAGCACGGTGTGGCGGGGGGGTGTCCCCATGGCGGGGGCTGATGGTGTCCTCCCTGTGCTCCTCAGGCCCACGGCTGTCGGGGGGGCACAGCCTGCACGAGACCTCGACGGTGCTGGTGGAGCCGGTGGCACGGGGGGGCTCGCGGGGTCCCCCCGCCTTTGGGGGGGTCACCAAGGCCCCATCGGACGCAGGGCAGGTGGTGGCCCGAGGGCCAGGGCTGGCGACCGCCCGCCTGGGCCACAAGAACCACTTCACAGTGGACTGCAGCAAGGCTGGTGAGGGGGCAGGGGGTCTGGGGGGGAAATGGGGGTCAGCAGGGGGGTCCAGGGCCTCCTAGGGGGGTCCTAGGAGGGGATGGGGTGGGTCAGCAGGGGGTTGTGGTAGGGGAACTTGGATGCAGTGTTGGGGTTTGGGGTGCAGTGAGGGGCTCTTGGGTCTCAAGCTCAGGGTGACCCCCCTGTGCCCCCCCAGGCACAAACATGCTGCTGGTGGGGGGGTGGGGGAGGATTGGGGTGCAGTAGCAGGGTCTGGGATGCAGTGGGGGGTGTGGGATGCGGTGAGAGGTGTGGGGTGTGGTGGGGGGGTCTCAGGCCAGGTTGTCACCCCCTGTTTTCCCCCCAGGCACAAACATGCTGCTGGTGGGGGTGCACGGCCCCAAGGCCCCGTGCGAGGAGGTGCACGTGAAGCACGAGGGGAACCGTGTGTACACGGTGACCTACAGCGTGCGCGAGCGGGGCGAGTACGTGCTGCTGCTGCGCTGGGGCGACCGCGACGTGCCGGGGAGCCCCTTCCGCGTCACCGCCGCCTGAGACCCCCCCACGGCCCCCGAGCCGCCGGGGGGCCCGGGGGGCCCGGGCCTGTCAATAAAGCACTGGGAGAGGAAGAGCGGTCTGAGTGATGGATGGCGGGGCCATGATATGGGGGTGACGGGATGGGGTGGGCCGGAGCAGGACACTGAGGTGCGGGGGGAAGTTTGGGGGGGTCTGGGACACGATGACCGGGTCCCGAGGGGGTCCCGGCGCAGGGCCCTGGCAGGACGGCGGGTCCCGGGGGGTCCCGGGGGGTCTCGGGGGGTCGCGGGGGGTCCGGGCCGGGCGTCGGGGGCGCCCCGCGGTGGCCGTGCTGTCCGGCAGGGGGCGCTGTGCCCTCGGGGTCCCCGCGTCCTCTCAAGGGCACGGCGCACTGCGCGTGCGCGCGGCCTCGGCCGCGAGGGGCGGGGCCAGCGCGGGCGGGGCGGGGCCGGCGGGGCCGGGGGGCGTTACCGGGGGCGTTACCGGAGGGGCAGGGCCGGAGCGGCAGGGGCGGAGCTCACCGGCGGGGGGGCGGAGCTCACCGGCGGGGGGGCGGAGCTCACCGGCGGGGGGG